ATGGGTATCAAATGGAAGGTATTTCAAAAATAAAAAATTTTATTTAATAGGGCTTGTGACCTATTTTGAATCGCATATTTATTTAATTTTTTTGATTAGAAAAAAGGTAAAGTATTAGTTTTTATGGGTACCAAGAGAAGATTCTTAAGCAATGCTTTCCCTATATACTAAGCGTTATCCCTTAGGATATTTGTGTAAGGTTGCCACTTATTTTCGATTCTACACAATTTATCGAAAACATCGTAATATGGATATCAAATAAAAAATATTGTTGTTAGGGTTGTCAACTAATTTTTGAAGTACAACTTTTTTTTTTAATTAATAGATACCGAAATCCATTTTTTTTATTATTTCCAAAATATATTTTTATAACGCTATCCAAATGACCAGTATTTAATACCCAAATCTTGAAAACTTTAAAAATTATATGCACACCGAGCAAAGCTCAGTCCATCTAAAATATAATAAGCCAAGTAGAGGTTCAATTAACCCACTTTTTATATTAGGATAGTCATATTAAGACTCACGATATACTGATAGATAAAGCACTCACACAATTTAATATTGACACAATTTTTTTAAAAGCAGAATTATGAATCGCAAATCATTTGGCAGGACTTTCAACGCAACCTATAACTTAATTTCCAAAAAAGGTAATACAACTGCATCTATTGGTACATATTGGTAGAACGGTTACCGATATACATATATGTGATCATAAGTGGGCGGTGCCACGCCCATTTTCCAAAATTGGATGTTGTTGTTGTTGTTGTAGCGGCTACAACAACCCCGCCCAGATCGGTTGGTATCTCAGTCGTTGTCGTCAAATTCCACTAACGGCAACCCTAGGAAGCGTGCAGCTTCTGCGGGGTTTGCCCATAAGGACAAGGTCGTTAGGGATGTCGGGTTTGCCGGGCATGCGAAGAGATATTTCGAGTCATGTGGGGTCTCTCCGCATGCCGGACATTCATTAGGCACATCCTCATTCAGCCTACTCAGGTAGGAGTTTAACCTGCTGCAGTAGCCGGAGCGAAGTTGTGCAAGTGTGGTGCGCGTCTCCCGAGGCAGATGGAGCTCCGTCTCGTCAATGTCCGGGGGTGGTGTGCCTAGAACGGCATTCACAGGTCTAGAGTCTACATAACTCGAGACTGAGTCCCTGTGAATGCCGTTCAAGGCCTGTCTGTTGGCTGTCGGGTCCAGAGGTTGCTTAATGAACCTCTGGACTTCGTCCGTTAGTTCATATAGATGCCTCCTGACGTGCCTAGGCGAGGGCTCCTCTGCAAGCAGCTGTCTGCACGGGTGGCCACTTCTGTGGGTCCCGATCAGGAACTGCTTGCAGAGCATTATATTGTGCTCCTTTACCGGGAGCATTTGCGCCTCGCCGTGCAGGTGGTGTTCAGGCGTCATCAAGAGGCATCCCGTCGCTGTCCTCAGTGCGGTGTTTTGTGCGGTCTGTAGCTTCGTCCACTGCGTCCTACTAGTCCCAGGCGACCACACTGGCGCTGCGTAGTTCAAAACCGGCCGGCCTATTGCCTTGTATGTTGCCAGCAACGTTTCTTTGTCTTTGCCCCAAGTACTGCCGGCTAGCGACTTGAGGACCTTGTTGCGGCTCTGTACTTTATTGACAATAGCGGTTGAGTGCGCAGAGAAGGAGAGCAGGCTGTCGAAAGTTACTCCGAGTATTTTGAGGTTATTCACCGTCGGAAGTGGTGTGTCATCGACGTGAATCCCCAGCGGTAGCCTGACCTCCTTCGTCCAGGTTGTGAACAGGGTCGCGGAGGAGTTCGTAGGGGAGAGGGCTGGACACTTTGCAGTGAAGAAGCGAGAAAGTTCGGAGAGATAGCCGTTTACTTTCGAGCACAGGTCATCAATTCCATTCCCAGTCGCCATAATCGAGCAATCGTCAGCATAGGAGACAATCGAGACTCCCTCTGGTGGTTGAGGGAGCTTTGAAATATAAAAGTTAAACAGTAGCGGGGAAAGGACACCACCCTGAGGAACCCCCTGTTTTATTTTTCGCTGCTTACTCGTTTTGTCTCTGAACATTACCGACGAATGTCGACCACTTAGATAATTTGCCGACCACCGTTTGAGCCTCTGTGGGAGAGAGGAGGCCTCTATATCTTCTAGTAGCGTGGAATGGCAGACGGTGTCAAACGCCTTTGACAAGTCCAACGCTACTAGAATCGTTCTCTCACAGGGACGGTTACGGTTAAGGCCACGAGTTATCTGAGTGTTTATGGCGTTAAGTGCTGTTGTTGTGCTGTGCACTTTACGGAAACCATGCTGATGCTTCGCTGGGGTCAGGTGATTTGTGAAGTACGGGAGTAGCAAGGCCTCGAGTGTCTTCGCTACCGGGGAAAGGAGTGTAATCGGACGATACGAATCTCCTTTGTTTGCAGGTTTCCCCGGTTTGAGCAGTGGGACCACTCTCCCCACCTTCCAGATGTCTGGGATGATGAGAGTGGCCATTGACAAATTGAGGACCTCCGTTAGGTACGCTACCTCCGCAGGACCCAAATTTTTCAGCATCAGCATGCATATACCGTCGGGACCCATGGCTTTGGAGGCTTTCGCCTTCCCGATGGCCACCCGAACTTCACCGCAAGTGAAAGCAAGGGGGGCACAATTTGTTGGCAGTTTGTGCAGCCTTCTGGTCACTCGACGCTTGGCTTTGTCTACCGGAGGATGCAGTATGAACTGCCGGCTAAAATAGCTCGCGCATCGCTCCGGGTCCGACGAAGCATGGTCGCCGAAGGAAATTTCGACTCTGTCGTCGTGCTTCGTCGGATTAGACAATGACCTCACGGTTGACCAAAGCTTGCTCACACCAGAGGTGAAGTTGCAAGTCTTCAGATGCTCCTCCCACTTCTTCCGCTTATGTACGTTTACAAGTTGCCGAATCTCCGCGTTGAGATCCCTGATACGGGGATCTCCGGGATCGGCCTGACGAAGGCTATCACGCTCATTTGCTAAAACAGCCGCTTCGGCAGGGAAGTTTGGACGTGGGTCCGATATGCACCCTGCCGGTATGAAGCGGGCTGCAGCAGCAGTGATAGCCCTGCGGAACTTACGTTCACCGAGGTGGACGTCGGTTGGTGTGGGGAGCGATGTGAAGGTGTTTTCAGTAAACTCCGCGTAACCTTTCCAGTCAGCTTTAGAAAAGTTGACATAGGTCCGGTGTTTGGCGGAGGCAAAGTCGGTTGGTTTATGAATCGAGATGACTATGGGTAGATGGTCTGATGCTAGAGTCAGCATAGGTCGCCACGTTATGCTATTTATCAGACCAGCGCTGACTATTGTGATGTCTGGCGAGCTACTACAGTTACCCATAATCCTGGTGGGTGCGTCGTCGTTCATTGTGCAGAATGTCGAATCGTCTATCTGCTCAGCCAAGTCTGTTCCCCTACGATCGTTTGACAGGCTTGAGTGCCAAAGATCGTGGTGCGCATTAAAGTCACCTACTACCATACGGTTTTCACCTCTGAGGAGCGCACCTATATCAGGGTGATATCCTGCCGGGCAGCAGGTGACAGGGGGTATGTATATATTAAATATTTCGAGCTCGACATCGCCTGACCGGATAGCGATGCCCTGACATTCTAGGGTGGTATCCCTGCGGTCGATGTCTGCTTCGATAAGACGATACTGCACGGTGTGGTGCGTGATGAACGCTAAGCCACCACCATTATCTCGCTCGCGATCTCGACGGTGCACGTTGTACCCGGCACAATTCAACAAAGTTGAATTGCTGTGCAACTTCGTCTCTTGGACAGCAGCTATTAATATACCATGCCGACACATAAAGGCGGTTATCTCCTCAATCTTACTCTGTAGCCCGTTACAGTTGAATTGGAGGAGCTTCATGTGGTTCGGGAGACGTGTTGTGATGTGGGGTGTGAGTGAGGTGTATGTTCTTGCCGCCGTTGGCTGTGTGTGCTGCTGGGGTGATTGCCTCCCTGTGGTGGTAGTGGGGGGCGTCGCAATTGATGTCAGCGACCGAGCAGCGCAACACGGGCCCTCGAAGTTCCCCGTCCAATCTCGCGTGGTGCGCAGACCTGAACATGCCCTAAAGTGGCACCAGCCAAGGCAGGTGTTGCACTTGACTGATGTCACATTACGGAATATTCTGGTCTGACATACCGTGCAGATTGTAGGGGGAACCAAGAGTTGTTGGCGGCGGCGTGTGGGTGGTGGTGCGGTTGTGTGTGTTATGTGGTCTGTGGTGGCTGTGGTATGTTGTTGTGTTGTGGCGACTGTGTGTGGTTGCTGTGTGAGTGTGTGGGGCTGCACGGGCGGACTATGGGTTGCCGTGGAGGCTGCTCTATTTGAGCAACAGGGGGCCACGTACGACGTGGTCCACTGTCTGTGTGTCCGTAGTCCCGAGCAGACCCTGAGGTGACTCCACCCCTCGCAGGCATTACACTTGACTGAGGTGGAGTTGTGGTGTAAACGTCTTCGGCATACACAGCAGGTGTATATTTCTGGCCCAGGGTTTGACTCGATGCCAGCCCTGAGTAGGAGAATGCGTAGTGAATGTTGCCCTATGGACGGACAACTTCCGAGATACTTCGCCGACCTAAACGGGGTTAGATCGCCGAAACAACAGCCCTTGGTCGGGTGAAACCCGAGTCATTCCGGTACGTAGAACCGGCTGTCGTGGGAAAATTTGATCATAAACCATTGTGGAATTATATATTAAAATATAATTATAAATACAATATTATAATTAATTTAGTTATAATTATTAATAATTATACAATTATGTGTAATTGCATCATGTTAATAATGGACTTGATAAATTAGATTGTATTACGGTGGATGGACGTTAGTTATGCCACTGTTGCTGTGAGCTATCCTAGCCAAGAGTGTCAAACGAAATTTTCTGTAATTTTTGAATATATGACATCATATTTTTTGAAACACAATCTTTTTCCACGCTTTTCTATTTTTCTCTTAAATATACGATTATTTCATAAATAATTTAAATACTTCGGAAAATGGCAAATAATACAGACGCTTCACAAGATTTGGACAAGTTTCAAACGGAGGATGATGCCAGTAGTCCAGCAAAATTCCCAAATTTAAATACAACATTATATGACAAATCCCAATCACTGGTAGATATTGCGAATAATACCTTTAAAGAGTTATGTCGTACTCTGGAGAATGAGCAATCTAAGCTTATGGAATTAGAGGAACGTCGCAAGAAGCTACAGGAAGAAATGCAACGCCTTAAGCAGGAAATCGAAGAAGAAAAGCATACTTATCGACTAAATCTTGTAGAATCCCTAACAGAGAATGCAGAAGCTATGTGCGCGAAAGAAATGGCGAGTCTTGAAAGTAGTGGTGTGGACATTGACGAAGGTTTGTAAAAGTAAAACAAGTATTTTGTACTATGACTTTCGTTTGTTTATTTTATATATATATATACAGGTGCCGAATTCCAGAATAAACTCTACACATGTTATGAAACCGATGAAACAGCGGCCGATGAAGATGATACCAAGCATCCGAATGACATTGCACGCAGCATTCAAATAAAACTTCAGGGCGTAGTAGCAGAATGCGTAATTGAGCAGTGTCATTACGATGATCCAGCTAATGAGGTACATACATATGCTACCAAAACAGAATATGTATTCAGATTTTTTCTACCTAAAATACTGTTATTTTTCCAGCAAGCAAAATCCAAGCACACTGTACCGTGAAATCCAATTTTTTACTATTGCGTATGCACATCCAGTTGTAATTGTATTTTTTTTTATTTTTTAAAATTTTGTTCAAGAAATGTGCATTTTATTTCTTAAATGTTTACAATAAACGAAAATTCATTTATTTTGTACAAAAACATTTTGCTTTAGAAGTTTATCTAGAGCTTTGTGCAGCTTGGCGAAGTCTTTATTATCAAGAGAGTCAGGGTAATGATGCAGTTGCAATGCGAATGTTTCCAAAGTAGCTCGTGTCAACTGAAAACATAGTATACGTATATGAATTAATTTATTAATAACACCTTGTAACTGTCACCTTAATGATTTCTATATCCATTCTATGAGCATTGATGGCCTCCATTAAAACCGACGTGAACTTCTCCATAAATGTTATTAAGTGTGGACCGATTATTTCCAATTTGATTGGCAGAATACATACCAAATAACATTTGTGTAGTTCCTAAAATGTAATGCGACTAGAAAAAAAAATTTCGTATTCGCTAAGTTTTTACAAACCAATAAAAATTTCTGCGAAATCTCATTATCCTGCATCAGTTTATATGAATTTACATTAAACATATTTAAAATATCTTTTGCCCAACGAAAAATTGTATAAGAGTTGTTTGTAGCGCAAATAGCTCGACACTGTTCTGAGGTATTTGGGTCGTTAAGATCTGCTTCGCAATGATATAAGATATCATTTTGATTTATCGCAAAATATGCTCCAAATTTAATGACGAATTGCAAATGGCAAAGCGAGACTAGAATATTAGAAGCCATTGTTATATTTTTAAGGGCTTTTTCCATAAGGTCATCTAGTTGACTCCACTGGGGAAAACAGCTATATTAGATAAAAATTGCTGAGTATTTATTTTAAACAAATATTTTACGTTAAAGCTATCTAAATCCTCAAAGAATCTTAAGCATGTGTACAAGCAATTCCAGGTATCAGTAGCCGCTTCAACAGAGTCAAAAAAATCCACATCTTTATATGCTGAATCATAAATTACGCCGTGTATGTTTTGTTCTTGTAGATGCGAAAAATCCTTCAAATTTAATTATGAATTAAATACAGGTACGGCGCTCATTATTTTTTTTTAACTTACACCGCTATTCAAAATTAACTGAAATATCAATACTCCAATTTTTTTACAAGTAGGATCATGGCTTTCACGCACAGTTAGACCTACTGATAAGCAGAAATGAACCCACTGCTTTGGAAGCATTTGCCCACTGTATTGTAACTAGGAAAAGTAAAGTTTTAAATCATATTAAACGTAATACCTAGGACTTTTTTTCTAAAAAACACTTACATTTATGTACTAGAATAATGTCAAGCATACCTGTAAAAAACGGAGAAATCCATGAATTGACCCCAATTGCCTTTTCCATACATCTTTCCTTAGTTTTTTCTGATAAAATTCAAAGATGATTCGTTCCACAACCATTCTCTGTAAAGGAATATGCTCCCGTAGAACTCGATTCCCGTTTCTTTCTATGCTCTCATGCGATAGTCCGTAAATTGTATTTTGAGCAGTTACCTCGCACAAGAGGACCAATAAGTTGGCAAGTGTCTTAATTTGTGAATAAATTAGTTTTTATAAGAACAATATAACAAATTTCACTTACCTCGCACGCTTCCGGCTCATCGCTTCCGAAGATGCACTCCTGTTTCTGTTGCAGCAAATCATACAGTATGGGTAGTTGCAGTTCCAAGACATTTCTGTATTCATTGAAGTGATCGCTTAGTAAGGGTACGTCATCCAAATCTTGTTTTAACACAGGCACAAAACAGGAATCAATTAAATGCTTGAGATCTTGACAACTAACGCCTGAGCAAGTCATCCTAATTTTAAGAACCTGATTTAAAACAATTTGTTTCCTATATTTAAAAACAGAAACCTATCATCACTATCATATTAATCAACGCGATTGTTTCTGGGGCCGGCCGCCGAATGGTGTTTGTAAACAAAAGATTCTTTCTAAAGCAGGAACCACAGAGGAGGTTGAGCTGAAAAAAAGTCTGCGCAAACTGGTGCGGTATACTACGCAGACACGCTTAAAGCCTTTAGACCGGTCCACATAGAACTTTGCGTTGGCTTTCGCGCTGGCGTTGGTTTGACAGAACGCACGTTAAAAGTATGCTTGCTACAATGAACGCTTGGCAGCGAATGCTTTGACCACTAAATTAACATACTAACGACAGATAAATTAATATTTCATATCAATAATTGCATGAAAAATTATATTTCTTGCCCAGACTTGATTAAACATTAAAAATATTTTACTTTATTTTATTTATTTGCAACTGCTGATTGACAACGCGCGTTAAAAGATGAGTGATGCCCATCTTTCTGTGTGTGTTAAAGCGCAGTTAGTCAACGACGTAGCGTAAACGTAGGTTGGCGTACGTAGCAGCATATGAAACTTACTCAAGAACGATGGAAATATATACCCAAATATACCCGGCTAAGTGCTAAATGCCTTTGGCACTAACACTTTGCAAGTTCATCGCCTGTTTGCGCAGCTCTTTGATTAGAATTTTTATGTACGAAAATTACTTTCCATGCATCTCCTTTTCGTCACAACTACCAACTTAAATCCAAAATCACTATCCACATGAACCACAAAATCCACATTTTGCTTGTGACATTTTTGTTTTTGTACTTCTGTCGTCCATCGGAGTTGTCATATGATCAATTTTCATCAAGGGCCAAGAAAACGAAAATGTTACGGATTTTTGCAATTTTTATGTTCTGCTTTTTAGCAGGTGAGTAATTATATTTTAGTAATTTGACCAATCGCATATAACACAACTAAAGGAAGTGAAAGTGCAGAAGAATTTTTCCCCGCAATCCGTTAAAAATGGGAAACAATAAATTTTCGCGGGTGGGGTATCAATCTTATTGATTTTCGCTTTGTCAAGACCGTCAAATAATTCTTGTTAAACTGATACATACAATTTCTAATCTCTTTCAATCATATGTATTTCAGTTCAAGGTGATGGCAGATTTTACGTGCTGAACGCGCCAGAGTCGTTATCTTTCCAGGCCGTTTCTACTGCACTCCCAAGCGAACAGGTGGACGATGTTATTAAGGCAGCAAGAGGATTGGATGTATCGGACTCCGCAAACTTTCCCGGCCTTGTGATCACGGATCCTTTCGCACTTCCACAAAAAGTAGTAGTTGTAGATGTGATTGGTTTGAATGAAGTGCCCTTGAGTGATGTCGTGGTGAGCTATAAATTAAAAGGAAAATCTGTTTCGTCATATTTAGATGACTTGAATGTGGGTTTGACACAAGATCCCTCTGACTGCAATATTAAGCTCTCTAGCAACCAGAAAAGTGTAAGTAGATTTTAACCTTACTCCTCACTCATTGTGTAATTAATATACCTTTTATAAAATAAGGAACTTGTGAACTGCGTAGAAACTCAAGTAAAATCAAACAATGAATTCATACTAGCAAAAATAAACGTATCAAAGCTTGTAAAAAGTGGTGTTGACAAAGCGTTGGTCAGCGAACTTAAAACTCTGCAAGCAAAAATTGAGGGAGAATCACCGAACTTGCTCTTTGTCGTTCTAACTCATAAAGATGATGGTAGCAATTCACGTAGGAGACGTGACACTTTAGCTGGATCTAAAACTGTAAATATATACATAACTAATTTAGTTGATAGAAAAAATTAACACTTTTTTATGGCTCCTATAGAATTCGTACAACCTTGCTGCGTACTATGATGAAAACTACCCAGTAATTTTCAACATCATCCTATGGTTCATGGTTGCTTTGGGTCTTTCATTACTGGCTGTTTGCTACGCCATCGCCGATATGGATCCCGGTAGAGACTCGATCATCTACAGAATGACATCAACACGAATGAAGAAAGACAATTAAAGAGAATCTTTCTATCACACTTTAATTTCTATACATATATTAATTTAAATATTATCTCCAAATAGAAACGGAGAATGTATTAAAAAAATTCCACGTTGAAAATTGCAACAAAGCAATTATTGAAAAGTTTAAATTGTTATACCAAGAAAATTACTTTTCATAAATAATTCTTGTATTTATCCAATTTTCTTTTTAAGACTTATTATATTGTCTACCTCCAAGTAATTCATGTGTGTGTGTGTGTGTTGTTTACTTATTGCAAATCCATCTGTAAGCTTTTATAAAAGGGGTAGCACTACACAAGCATATTCGAAACATGTAAAAAACGTGGTTACTAAATAAATTCTTAAAAAGAAAAATAAGGAGTTTCAGTCAAATACGAATCCGAGTTTTGTTAGAGTCAAATGCGGACGCAAAATCCTCATCTCAACCTTTCAGACTTCACTCGCAGACTTCAGTTGCTTCTTATAAATTTACGTTCTTTGCCCAAAACAAACAAACAACGCCCCCAGGTCCCACCGGAGAAAAAAAGGCCCATTTTTGGTGCAATTGTCCGAAGTTGGCAACCGTGCTTCTGCGAATGCTATCAGTTGGCATCTCTCTAAACTGGTCGAAATTTGTTGACATTTTGCGGTAGCATGCATTGAGTCTAATTTCTCATTTTTTGCGAGTGTTTGGAATTTATATACATTAAATATAAATAGTTTTTTAGAAATAATTCTAAACTATTCAGACCCAGACTTCGTATATTCATCATGTCTATTGAAATCGAATCGGCTGAGTAAGTATAAATACGAAAGCTGCATCAATTAACTGGGCTGAAGATCGGATGTGTAGTACTTACGGCCAGTTTTTTTTTTTATTTCAGTGTTATTCGACTAATACAGCAGTATTTAAAAGAATCTAATTTATATAAAACATTGCAAACTTTACAAGAAGAGACCGGTGTCTCACTTAACACGGTGGACAGTGTTGACGGCTTTGTACAGGACATTGTAAATGGCCATTGGGACACCGTGCTGAAAGTCACGCAGTCCCTAAAATTACCTGATAAAAAACTTCTTAATTTGTATGAACAAATAGTACTTGAATTGATTGAGTTACGAGAGTTGGGTGCAGCCCGTTCATTGCTGAGACAGACTGATCCCATGATTATGCTGAAACAACACGAACCGGAGCGCTACATACATTTAGGTTTGTAGTTTGGTGTTGTATGTGCATATACATAGTATATAGTATGTATCTGACCCATTTTATAAATGTTTATTTTATAGAAAATATGCTTCAGCGTGCATATTTTGATCCGAGAGAAGCCTACCAAGAAGGTAGCAGCAAAGAAAAACGACGTGCCATTATAGCACAAGAACTAAGCGGTGAAGTACATGTTGTACCATCTTCACGTCTATTGGCACTACTAGGTCAAGCCCTGAAATGGCAGCAACATCAAGGGCTATTACCCCCCGGCACAACGATCGATTTATTCCGGGGCAAAGCAGCAATGAAAGATCAAGAAGAGGAAATGTTTCCCACACAAATGTTCCGGCAAATCAAATTTGGTCAAAAATCTCATGTTGAATGCGCCCAGTTTTCACCGGATGGTCAATACCTAATAACTGGCAGCGTTGATGGCTTTCTTGAGGTTTGGAATTTCACTACTGGCAAAATACGCAAAGATCTGAAATACCAAGCCCAGGACCAGTTTATGATGATGGAGCAGGCAGTTTTGGCTCTATCATTTTCCCGAGACTCCGAAATGGTAGCATCTGGCTCTCAAGACGGACAAATTAAAGTGTGGCGTATTATAACCGGACAATGTTTAAGGAAATTTGAAAAAGCACACACAAAAGGTATTACATGTTTGCAGTTCTCGCGTGATAATAGTCAAGTGCTGAGTGCTTCCTTCGAAAATAGTATACGATTACATGGCCTAAAGTCTGGCAAAATGTTGAAAGAATTCAAAGGTATGTATACTAGAATAAAGCTCAAAGGATATTTTTTAAAGACATAAACTTACGCACATATATTTAAGGTCACACGTCATTTGTCAATGAAGCTACTTTCACACCCGACGGTCATAACATACTAAGCGCCTCTTCGGACGGCACAGTGAAAATTTGGTCATTAAAAACTACTGAATGTTTGTCAACCTACAAACCATTAGGCAACGAACTAGCAGTAAACACCGTGTTAATATTACCCAAAAACCCAGAACATTTTATTGTTTGCAATCGCTCGAATACAGTTGTCATTATGAATATGCAGGGTCAAATTGTACGTTCATTCTCATCTGGTAAGCGTGAAGGAGGTGCTTTCATTTCAGCCACCATCTCCCCGCGTGGTGAATTCATTTATTGCGCTGGCGAGGATCAAGTATTGTACTGCTTCTCGGTAACATCTGGCAAACTGGAACGTACGCTAAATGTAAGTTTCCCAATAATAATAATAATGGTTATCAGTATTCATATATTTCTTACGTAATACTTATGCATATGCAATATTACGCCATCATAGGTACATGAAAAAGATGTCATTGGCCTATCGCATCATCCCCACCAAAATTTGCTAGCCACGTACAGTGAAGATGGACTACTAAAATTATGGAAGCCATAAATATAGTTTAAGATTCTAGTTGTAATTTATTCATACAATTGCTATGGGACTTAGTATTTAAATCAATAAACCGATAATCGAACACCATTATGCGTATTAAAAATAATTACTGCAAACGGTTCCATCTACAAAGTAGTAAGAAGAAGTTGAGCTTCCCAGTAGATAATTGCAAGAGTTAAAAGCTCTTCCGAAAGGCCTTCCTGAAAGTCAAGAGGCCTTTCATTCTAGATTCCTTATCTTTCTTTTTGTATGGAGTGGCACAAACTGAAGGGCTTCTTCTTTCGCTACCTATGGAAGGCCTTCCAGAGGTGCTTTTGTAGTACGTGCTTCAGAAGGCCTTTTAGAGGAGTTCTTTTAAAGTTGCTTCTTTAATTTATCAGACATGCTCTAAAATTCGGAAATTTGAAATCGACTCGATTTCGATAATTTTTTCGATGGTTTTTAACCCAACAATTTACAAGTCTCGCATAAAAATGATTTATTTCATATCGCTGCTGCTTCTTTTACGGTTTCCAATTAGAATACATATTCACTCTTTTCATTAGCTATAATTAAAAAGCATTTGGAAAATCGAGTCGAGTTCAAAGTCATCTTTGAATTATTTGCTTACGGTTTATATCAAATACGAAATACATTTGTAATGCTAAATAATATAAATTTAAGCATTTGCATAAATTGTAAATGGATAAGCCCTTCTAGAAGGCATGCAAGGAGCACTTTTTCAGCCCTTCGTGGGTTGGCCTCTTAGAATGGCTTTACTTAGGATGGCCTACCTAAATTATCTTCTGGGTTCTGCGTCAGAGTACTACATTTTTAATAGGTAAATTGATTTCAATTAAGAAAGATGCAAATACAATGCCACGGTTTTTGTATAGATGGTAGCAATACTATGCTTAGATTTAGCGTAAATATTCAAATAAACATGTGTGTGACAATACTTGCATTTGCAACACAAAAAATTATTTATTCTAAGTTGATTAGCTTAAGCCACTTTGGATCAATCTCCATTTGCACCACATCAGTCGTTCAAGGTGCACACATTTGAATGGACGTTGGTTGTAAATTACAGCCGGATAATGAAGAGTGAGCCAATTATCGAAAAAATACGCAACAAATTGAAGGATTCTAATCCTGATCGACGCACGGTTTTGAGCGTATTTCAATTCAATATCACTGATACCGATGGAAAGTTAATTAAAAGTGTAGGTGAGTATATTCAAATGCACACTATACAAACGGACTGCTGTGCACAAATCTATTTGTGAGTGCATTAATTTATAGTGTCGTAGTTTTTGATTTTAAAGATCTGAATATCTATGAGGGCACAACAGATGCAGCAGATGCTGAAGTTATTATATCGGATGAGGATTTCTATCTAGTAGGTACGAAGCAAACAACATTTGATGTACTACTCGCTGAGGTAAGGCGTACGCAAAACAGTGGATATGCTTTACTTCGAATAATTTTAATTCGATTCGATTTTAGAACAGGGCGGTTGTCAAGGGAGATGCCAAGGCCATAGACAAAATACTTGGGAAGTTCCGTTCAGGTGCAGATAAGTAACTGGATTGATAGTTGATTATTATTTTTATTTAAGTCAAAACGGTGAATAATGTTGCAGATAGCGAATGTAGTTCTTGAATTATAGCGATATCAGTGATGTTTACATGTTTGTATTTACATATGAACATGCACCCATATGCATATGTATTCCTGTTTTACTTTATTAATCATGTCCTAAAATTTATTCTTTTAAATAAACTAACCTTAATTTTATATAAATAAACTAGCAGACCCGGTGAACTTCATCCCGCCAAAAATTAATTATTTTTTATTGAAACTTCTTGGTCCAACAATAGTTGCGTTCCAGGTGCTTCACGACATTCACGAAATTCACGATTTGCATGAACAGCTTGTTCTCTCCATTAATAAACCTAATTAATGGGAGGTGGTCACCTGGAACGACTTCCTGTAAAAACCTGCAAATCGTGAAGCATCTGGAACGCAACTATTATCACCAACAATTCATGTTTACCATTTTCATTGGCACATTAATCTGCTAAGATTATGGTTTGGTGGTCATTTACTGGCGGGTTAAATTGTGAAACTAAACCCTCCAGAGACCCGCTCAAACGCACACAAAAAATTTCGTTAAAATCCGGACACCCATTTAGGAGGATTTCACTTGCAAATACACCTAAAGAAGAATTATACATCCAAAGAAAGCTAAAAGTTGGTAAGTTTACAGGCCCCACATCCCTTTTCAAATAGGGGAAATAAGATTAAAAAATTTTGTACGCCCAAGTATTCTAGACATTTTATTTTATTATATTATATATTGTTTATAAATGAATTATATTTTTACAAATCATATGTCTTGAGTCATATGTTTTTGAGAAAAATACACCGTAGTAATTTTCATGATAAAAATATTGTAAGGTAGAACCGCTGAGAGTCACTTTTAAAATTCTTGACGTTTCCAAACAATTTAATTTTTAAATTTCTTCACAAACTCACACACACATTTTCATTTTCAATCTCAAGCAACAACAATTTCGAACAATTTCATTTTTTTATTTTCACATTTATATGATTTTAAAATGTTGGCAAACTTCAAAAAAAAATCATGGCCGACAAATTGAGAGAACGGTTATACCTTGCTATGTTTTTATCATGGTAATTTTAAAATTTCAAAATTACATTTCTCGACTGAAAAATAAGATATTCGAGCTAACTCGACGGCATACAGTGTTTCTTTTTAACACTTCATGTCAATTAATCGTAGCGCTTTCGACTGAAGCAATATTTTGATATGAGGCAAAATGGCTTTGAAAGCTAATTTAATTACCTTTCAAGAAAAAATATTGCCATTGAGTCACAATCACTCCTTGACCTTAAACAAATTGGTCAAAAATAGTGTTCTTTGAAAAAAAAACATACAAAATCCAATGGATATATTAAAAAAAATAACATTTTTTGGATTTTTTATTATACAGGGCGGCGCCGAATGAGCATATAGTTTAAATGGTTTATAACTTTTTTATTTATGCGATTATTATAATTATAATTTTATACAGTGGGCCGTAGGAATAAAAATAAGCAATTGCTTTTTCTTAAAATTTCAGATTTTTTACTCAATTTATTCAAACAAAATTGAAGTGAAAGGTATGAAATTTAAGAAAAAGGAATTGCTTAGTTTTTATTCATACGGCCCAGTATATTATTGGGGAATTTTTTGCAATTAGCTTTGAAAAATGATATCCTGTAATTGATGTCCATTTTCTGCTTCGCACATATGTACGTGTTCTTTTTAGCATATTTTCCATAACTTTTCGCAGAATTTCGGGTGTAATGGCCATGATTTCATTTCGAATGTTGGTTTGGAGTTGGAGAATGGTTCTTGGTTTGTTAACGTACACTCTTTCTTTCAAATATCCCCAAAGAAAGCTGTTAAAAAGAATTCAAACCATATACCTCATTCGGCGCCACCCAGTACTACCTAGTATTATAGATTTTGAGACGAGAAACACGATTCCACTGTTTAAAATCCGACAAAAAAAAATCAAACCCTCGATTAGAGAAATTATATTATATATTGCATTTTTTGGTATTTGCATGCAGCTGACCATCCTTCACACAATTGTTATCCCTCGAACAATAAGTCAGTTTTAGTGCTATTGAAGACCTTTAATTTAAGCCAAGGTAGAAGTCTCCAGGCCCTTTGAGAGCTAAATTATCACGATTCTAAAGTTAAACTTCGAAATTTTATTCGCCATCTTACGCAATCTTTTTTTTCTAATTTCGGAGTAAAAACTAGTACCGCAGATCCGAAGTTTGGTTTAAAATTGTTATAACTTGGCTCTCAGAGGGCCTAGAGGCTTCTACCTTGGCTCAAATTAAAGGTCTTGAATTGCACTTATTGTTCGAGGGATATAAAATTGAGTGAAGGATGCACAGCTGCATGCAAATAGAATAAAAATGCAATAAATAATGGATTTTTTTTATATTAAGGTGTTAAAATTTTCCTTCTAATTTTGAACAGTGGAATCGTGTTGCTCGTCTCAAAATCTATAATACTAGTATAATAAAAAATACATACATTTTTTGTTTTGGAATAAATCCCGTGTATTTTGCATGTTTTTTTCGAAGAACACTACTTTTGACCAATATTTTTAAGGTCAAGGGGTAATTGTGTCTCAGTGGCCACAATTGAAAGGGATTTACTTTAGCTCTCAAAACCATTTTATTTCGTCTTCAAATGCTGCTTCTGTCGAAAGCGCTACGATTAATTCGCGCGCAGTGTTCAAAAAGCAGACTGTGCGGCTTGTGAAAGGACAAGAGATTTCTCGACCGACTCGGATTTGGGAGGGGAAATTTCAGCCACCGAACACATATCTATGTAAAGTAAACAAGCCCCCCGCTGCATCCCTTATTCGATAGTTCCGAACTTGTTCTAAATTCGACAAATAAGATCTAGTTCGTTCTGCGTCCCTTTTTCTATAGTTCCGAACCATTTCTAAATTCGTCACTTTAGATATCGATTTCTAGTGAAAAAACTGAAAAAAAATAGTATTTTAGAAGTACCACTTTTTGCCGATTTTGGACTGGTGGGGATCTATCTATCGGACTAGTTCCTTTTTGGCGATAAAGACCTAGTACGGTACTAGAAATTTGATTCACCTGTCCGCGGTTTCCCTGCAGGGTAGATATGTGTTCTATTTTGTGCTTCGCAGATGCTTTTTCATAGCTTGGTAATACAAAACTAAAATTTGTGTTAACATTTCAACATCTTGGGAATGTCTGGAGACTAAGAAATAACAGCAGGCACCTCTGCAAACTCAGCTATAGCTAAAGGTATGTAAACGTACAATCGTACAATAATTCAAACAAATTTAATTTCAAATTGAAAACACATTTCTTCCAAAATAACTTAAAATCGCACACACGGAAGAACCAAAAAGATTGAAAAATCATGATACTTTATTCTTTCGTCTGTCGATTTCAGAACTGGCTCGGAACTGTACAATTTAGGACTAGTTCAGAACTATCGAAAAAGGGATGCAGCGGGCGGCAATTGACACTTCCTAGGATATCGCCATGTTAAATTCGCCAGTTGCTTTCATGCAAAAGAGATTTATCGCCAACCAGTACTGGGTCTAAATGTACTAGAAGCGCCCCAGTTCAGAACTAGAGATTTTCCCCACAGGGAGCAAACGCAATTTTAACATGCGTTGGTAAAAACAACCACCATCTGCATAGCAATTCCCTAACTAGTTGGCGGAAGCGGAATTTACAAATTTCGGGTTGAGTGGAATGATTCACATGATTTCACTCAAGCAATGAATATTGTGGATCAAACTCCGTTGAGCTGAGGATCAAACTTGTTGGGGATGGTATGAGTATGTTGAGAGCATCGAATTCATATGGAGGGCAACTTGTGCACATAAATCAATGTCGTTGTGCATATGCGTACATCAGAGTGGTGGCGTTTCGCTGATTTAGAAGTACTTATATGCAAAAAATGCTGAGCAGCGGGGAACCTCAAAATAGCCACTCTTTGCTGATCACTGGTGTATATCTATTAGTCTGGCGACAACTACAACTTGTGATATCTACTATACTTGGTTTGCTTTTTAATACTTTAGAATTTTTATTATACCTACGGTGACCATCCGTTCTGTTTTTTGCTGGATCGTAACGGTTTTGAAACGGTTTCACTTCTGCTCTCATGGCCTCAATTATGACACCGGGTGCACGGGGTGAATCGAAAATTTGAAATTTTCTTATAGAAAATGATAGGAAAATTTCATGATTTTCAATTCGTACTAAAAGAAGAATATGCCCCCATATTTTAAATGTATTAACTTTTTGTGTAAGCTATTGTAATAATAATATATTTTGTTATATTTTTATAAATATTCATTTAAAAAAAGAATAATACCGATAAAGAAAACGTGATACACGTTTAAAGTCTAAAATGGATTAAGAATTTAGAATTATATATTTTTACCCTTCTTTTATTTTTATACGTTTATTTTTGTAAAAATGTCTTGCATTTTCAATCCATTTTGTGTAGAAAGGTTTCAAAGCACAAGGATAGTACTTACGTACTCGGCATAGTAATCCAAAAGAAACTAAACGCAAGCGCAGATTTATATTTCAATAAAATTGTATTTCAACCGATTACAATAAGACTTAAAATTAGGTTGACATATGTAAGTATGTAGCTGCTAACAACATGCATACTTAGTTGACAACATTGAGCCATTGGCTGTTAAAAAGGAAAATATATATGTATGTAAATATTTGTATGCACACAAACATATTTTTATTAACAAAAAATTTTGTATAAAGTATATAAATATGTATGTTTGTATGTAGATAAAGGTCAAACAGAAATTAATTATATGACGAAAAATTGTTTTCTGCAAATAATAATAATAATAATATTTAATATGTAACTTTGTGTGTCTGCATGTGTGTTTATGCACATATGTATGTACTTATACACACACATATGCATGTATGCAGATGTATGCATTTTTACGTATAAAATATGGGATTGCTGTTATGCTGTATAATATAATTTATCCCATTTAGGTATGCACTCGTATATTTATGTATACATAACTAAGAAAACGTATGTTTATGTTTACTTGCATTATTTTTGTTAAATAAAATGTCCATAACTGTTTGCATATTTCACACTTTTTTTATTTACTTTTATTTGGATTTGATATACTCTTTTTTTTATTGAATGTCTAACTAAAACGTTTTATTTGTATTATGTATTACATTTGTGTGTGCAAGTATTTT